AGAGCCTTCATAGTTTAAGCATATCATCACAAAGAATGGAGGAACGTCTTCATCTACAGACTATGTCTAATCCCCCTATCCATCTTCAACGTTTAGATTTGAAGGGGCACCTTCAAAGCATGCCCAGATGGATTTCAGAACTTCACGACCTGGTCAGGATACGCCTGAAGTGGTCAAAGTTAGAGGATAATCCCATTGAAGCCCTTCAAGATTTGCCTAGCCTAATGGAGCTTCAGCTGCTTGATGCTTACATTGGAGATCAGTTGGACTTCATGCAAAAGAAATTTAAGAAACTTAAGATACTGGAATTTGAACAACTGTGTCAATTACGTACGGTGAGAATGTACAAAGGCACATTGCCCAACCTTCAGAAACTAGTTATAAGATGCTGTCCATTGTTAAGAGCAGTGCCTAGAGGAATTGCCTACCTTACCCAACTGAAGGAACTTGAATTGCAGGATATGGATGAAACATTCATAAATGGTATTCGAAGGAACGGAGGTGAATGCCGTTGGGAGGGTCCTAGCAGAGAAGAAATTACAGCGAGCATCTTCATCCATAATTATTCTCAACTCAGTGTCGCAATCCTAATCTTGTATATGATCATTTGGGATGTTTTGGGAGGAGCAAGGCAATGCTTTGATATGGCTGATTCTGTTCTACTTACTATTGCCTTTTATGCTTTGATGTACTGTGTTTTAGTGGATATGTCCATGGTCTTTGGAGTCCAAAGAGGGTATGTAATTTGATAAAAGCAATTAATAATTCAGTATTGTTAATTATATGTTCAAAGATGATTTCCAAATTTTCATGGATCCCACCATCCAAAGATTTTCCTGGCTCCTTCCATCCAAAATTATGAAGAATACCATAAAACAGTAGGGGTGGATTCGAGCTAAGCCGAGTTGAATAGTATGAGGCTCGAGCTAGAACATTGAGTTCGAGCTTGGCTAGGCTTGAGCTTGATTTGAGAAAAAATGTTTTATAAAAGTAAAAAATTATATATAAAATTTTTTATTTGATATTTAAAAAATTAATAATTATAATAATTAAGAATTATAATATTTTTATTTTATATATATATATATATATGTATATATATTTGAGCTCGGCTTGCATAGCTCGAATAGCTCATGAAGAACTCGGCTTGTGGCCACCCCTAATCAATGGACTTTGGAAGTGTAACATTGGATTCAATTATCCCAAGACTTGGATTATTTGTTTACATTGTAAGATCGGATTCAAATTATACAATCTGCATCCGATTAATAATTGGATTGGATGTAGATTTAAGTCCATCTCAATAGATTAAAATCCAAATCTGATTATATAATATAGATATTAACTTTAACTTATAAAATATAAAAATATTATATAAGTTAAACAGTAATTAATTTTTAAATTTTTTTATATTAAAAATGAAGTAGAGTTTAATTAAATCTGAATCTGATAGGATTTGAATCTGATCTCAGATCTTTAAATGTGAACAAATTTTGGATTAGATTCGGATTTCAGTTTTCATTAATTGGATCCGATTTGGCTGTTGCCGAATCCGATCCATTTATAGCCCTATCCAGGATTTTTTTTTGCCGAAGGCAAAGCCAAAATGCATTAATCACCAGAAAAAAAATTACATCCAATTGGAGATCGATGACCTAAGGAACACGGGAGTATCAGACCAGGTCATGAAACGGTTATACTTAGCAGCATATTATGGAGTATGGACTACTCTATTACAAATTTGAGATGTGTAATAAAGAGAGCAATTCTGAAACAGAGACGACAATAAGAGATAACAGTGTGAAGGTGCCAAAGGAGAATCCGGATTGGACTTAATGAGATGAGTGACTAACCTCGCATCACTTTCAAGGACTATTGAAGAAATCGACAAGTGTTGGGCTAATTTCAGGCATTACAGAAGCACTTTTATAAAAGTATTTTTACGAAAGCAATTTTATGAAAGTACTTTTATGAAAAAATACTTTTATAAAAGTATTTTCATAAAAGTGCTTTTGTAAAAGTGATTTTGTAAAAGTGTTTTCATAAAAGTACTTTCTTAAAAGTGTTTTTATAAAAGTATTTTTATAGAAGTAATTTTGTAGTAATGCTTTCATAAAAGTACTTTCTTAAAAGTGTTTTTAGAGGGTATATTTTGAAAATTTGAAAGAAAATGAATGACAAAATAATCACAAATGCTTATTTAAGTGCTTATTAGAGAAAAAGACTACCAAATGCCAAATATAAAATAATTAAGTGCTTATTTGAATAAGCACTTATTTTTAACTTAAGCATTCCCAAACAATGCCTTAGTGGGTTGGTGGCGCCATCATCCCTACAACTTATGTGACTTGGAATGGTTGCATCTTTCATAGAACTTGTCAACTACCTCCTATATTGCTTCACTTGACAAAAAAAACTTGATCAAAAGATGATTACAATTTTAGGAAAAAAATGTGTTAGAGAATAAAGTTCTATTCAAAGGCCTAACACAACAGCTTAAGCATTTAGGTTGAACAGTTCCTTGACAAGGTATCAAAGCCTGTTTGACCAAGTGGTGTAGTATTCAGTCCTCATCATCTCCATTATAATTAATTAAATTTCAACACAATGTATGGGTGGGCCTATACTTGCCCATGCTCCAAGAATAATAGACTTTAATGTGAATGGTGTGCTAGAGATATTCAGAGACCTCACTTAACAGCTTCATCTTTTAGGTCGAATGGTTCTTTTACAATATGAAGCTTAATGATTCTTGTAAGATGGACAACAAAGTTTGTCATCCTTGCCCTAAAACTGTCTGATAAGCTGTTTTTCTTCTGATTACAATTTTAGGATAAACAAATAAAAGAGAAAAAGATTTACAAAGCACATGGACATCGATCTGAGTAATCAAGTCATTGTAGCTCAAATAGTTTCAAATGTGTCCTATGCTCTTAAGTTTCAAGATATAGCTTATCATGGTTACCATCCTACTCTCCTCCTTGGAGTAACCTTCGAAGGATATGCAATACAGAAAAATTTCCCTCTTAAAAGCTTGACGCCAGCCAAAGCCTTCGCTAAAAGGTGCAAGAACTCCTTAATCACATTTTCAATAGTTGCACAGCCAATATTGGCCAAGCCACTTTTATCAACTCCTCTATTTCCCCATGATTACACAGCCAGACAGTCAAGGTATAAGGGGTTGCATAACAATATACTTGGGAGTTATCGATACACGACCACACAACTCTTTAGAAGTGCATATTTTGAAAATTTAAAGAACAATTAAGGATATTTAAGTAATTAACCCTTTAATTTTTGCAATGATGGTTGTTCAAATATTCGAATTTTTAAAACTAATACGTTCAGTTGAGACATTTAAAACAAGAACAATATAATAAAAAATAAATTCTTTCTTTTCATACTTTTATTCTTATAATATATTTGAAATCATAGGCCCATAACTAGGCTGATGGTTTGGGCCAAACTGGGCCCAGGCCTGAACTAGAGTCCTTAGCATAGGTACCATGCATAATCACCGCTATTAGGGAGCATGATGTGCCGTCATCTTTTATTCTATACACAAATACTTATAGTTTTTAAAACCGACCCAGAGACCGAACCAGTCAGGGGTCTGGTTACCGGATTGAATGGTCTGTTCTGACAAAAAAATATATTAAAAAAATGAAAAACGGTTAAAACCGTTCAAATAGTCTGAGTCAGCAATTTATTGATCAAAATCAATAGTTTTGGAAAAAACTAAAACCGATCACCTAACCAATTCCCAGTTTTTCCGGTCCAATTGTCTGATCCGGTCTGATTTTGAAAACCATGCAAATACTGATTTGCCATCTTACCTCTTTCGAGGGCAAAAGAAGCTTCCTCAATTATATTATATTGCATTACCCATTTAATTGACTTGTCAAAAATAAATGTGCCACGTAGGTGCGGTAGTTTCACCCAAGCTTTTTCTTGTATGATACAAGATAGAAATATGAAACACATGAGCTATTTAAGAATACTTCGTGTCTGTTTGTATCATTTATTTTAAATATTTATTTAAACAAGTACTTAAAATAAGTGGTGGGACCATATAATAAGTGGCAAATAAATACTTATTCATGTTTAGCAAAAAATGTCAGGAATAAATACTTATTTTGAAAATAAATGCTTAAAAAACAAGCTGATTTAGGGCTGTTTATTTTAAGTGCTTATTTCATCTTCTGGGGATAAAACTGTCCCCAAAAATTTAAAAATACCTAGATTGCCTCTCACTCCAACAAACCAGAGGCGGCAACAGTGAACCCAGGTGGAGGTGCGAGCAACTAGGGCTGCGATTCTGCTATGGTGGGTTTTAACCCATTTTCTCCTAGATCTGTTTTTAGGAAAGAGGCAAACAGAGCTAGTCGGAGGCAACCTCTTCAGTTGTGAGTTCTAAGATCTTTTTACTTATTCTCCTTTTTGTTTACATTTATATGACCAATTACATACTATTCCTAGCAATTCTTTTATAAAAATGTCAAAATACAATTAATTTATGCAAGTGGAAATTGTGGTTAACTTGATAATTTTTCCTTATGATTGTAGTTATATATATTATTTTGATTAACCACAAAAAACATTATTATTTATTATTATTATTATTATTATTATTATTATTATTATTATTATTACAGAAATTCTTTTTTCTACTACTAATTGTATATTCTTATATAAAATAAATTGTTTAATAGTGCCACATGTGACACATGGGCCCATGTGAATAAGAGACGGGATCTGTTCCTCATAAATGGGTGCCTCATATGCACATCCACCATACATTGAAAATATCTTCTGTGAATAATAATTATTAAGTGCGAGAGATGTTCCCAATACATGATAGGATGTGCATGTGAGGCACCAGGTGTGAGGAGCAGATCCCGTCTCTGTGAATAAGTGTTAGTAATTTGGAAAAAGACCCCCTATACATTAATAATACTTATTTGTCGAACCACTGATCCGCCAAGCATAACCTTAACCGCTTTAGTAGAGATCATCCTTGCGGCTTTGCCATAGTAGTTCATGGCTTCATGCTTATTATTAGATATTGAGTTCTGGGAATTCTCTGACATGATTTCGCAAATAGCACATGTCCATTTTCTATTTAACTTGTACAATCATCTTTCTTTATATATATACACCAAATTTCCATGAAAACATGACCAAAAAACCACAATTAATTGTTAGATTGAATAAAAATGGGGATCCATAGAGAATCCAGTCATGTTCCTACCCCTTTTAATGTTTTTTTAATGATTATCCCTTTTAATTATTTAGGGAGCAGGTATATATGTGACAGCTGACCTAGTTGCATATAATTTAAAAGGTAAATTACTTGTACTGCTGAGGATTTTGGTCAAACACTAATTAGAGACCTCTAGCTCCTTAAGTATTTATTATTTACTTACTCCTTGTAGTTTGTTATCAAGTTACTTATTCCACCCCTCCACTAAAATGTTGTCAGTTTTAGCAACTGAAATTAGTGCCCCACATAATATTATTTAAAACTTGTTGATACCTTCTTGCAGATAATATTAACTCATTTATACTTCTTAGTCAGACAAATGTTTCCTGCTTACGGTTAAGGTGGGAATGAAAAGTTTAAATGGGTTCAAAAATGAAAAGAAAATAAAATTTAAGATGGTAAAACTGTATTTAATTAGTATTTATAAATGATAATTTTGGAGTCAAAAGGAATGTTTGCATCTCAAACTCAATGTAATTTCATGATCTATGCCTCTAAAGGGGTAATAGAGGGAAGAAACAGAGGTTGCTGTAATAGAGGGAAGAGGCATGGCAGAGGTTGCTGTGAGTTTTCTGCTGAACAGGCTTAGTCACCTGGTAGAGGAAGAGGTTAAATTGCTTGGAGGAGTGCAAAACGAAGTTGCATACATCACAAATGAATTGCAAAGCATAGGAGCCTTCCTACGAGATGCTGATTCAAGGGAAGAAACGGAGGAAAGAGTTAAAGCTTGGGTGAAGCAAGTGAGAGATGTGGCTTATGATATGGAAGATCTTCTTGATGAGTTCATGTTTTGCCTTGCTAGAAAAGAACAGCGGCATGAGCTCTGCTATTTCCTCTTCAAATCTTTCCATTTCGTGGAGACCCTGAAAGCACAACATAGATTTGCTAATCAGATGCAACAGATCAAAGAAAGAGTGCGCGACATCTCGGACAGAAGCCAAAGATATGGATTCAGAAGCCAAGAACAAGGCTCGAGTTCGAGTTCTCTAGCCGATAGATGGCATGATCTTCGTGGTGATGCTCTCCTACTAGAGGAAGCTGATCTGGTGGGGATTGAAAAACCCAAGGAAAAGATAATTGGGTGGCTTCTGAAAAACAGCTTGATGCTTAGAGTGGTTGCAGTAGTAGGCATGGGTGGATCTGGAAAGACAACACTGGTCAAGAGAGTCTATGATGATCAAAGGGTAAAGACGCATTTTGAGTCCCATGTTTGGATTACTGTTTCACAGTCATTTAAGACTGACGAGGTGCTAAGAGACATGATAGAACAACTCTTTGAAGAATGCAACCAATCAATTCCTGGAGGAGTAGAAGCAATGAAAGAAACCAGACTCAAGCTGATACTCAAAGAATTTTTGAAGCAAAGAAGGTATGTTCTTGTTTTTGATGATATATGGAGCAATCAAGCATGGGAATCTGTTAAATATGCTTGCCCTGATGGCAAGCATGGGAGTCGAATAATCATCACAACACGTTCAGATGATATAGCTTCATCTTGCATCAAACCTTATGGTCATCTGTATCATCTCAAACCTTTGTCTCCAGAAGAGTCATGGACTCTATTTTGTGAGAAAGCATTTGGGTCAAAAAATGAGCCTGATCTAACTCACCAATTACAGGGGCTCTCAAGAAGTATCATGAGAAGATGCGAAGGGCTGCCGCTTGCAATTGTCGCAATCGGTGGCCTTCTGTCAACAAAATTGAAGAATGTGATAGAATGGCAAATGGTGTATCGCAATCTTGGCATTGAATTAGAAAGCAATGACAAACTAAGAAGCATGAAGAAGATATTGTCTCTTAGTTATGATGATCTTCCATACCATCTTAAATCCTGTATTCTGTATTTAGGCGTTTTCCCTGAGGATGAATTGATTGAACCCATGAGACTGATTCGATTGTGGATGGCAGAAGGATTCATTCAAGGAGATGAGCAAGGCAGAACCATGGAAGAGATTGGAGAGGTATACTTCTATGACCTCATAAATAGGAACTTGATCCAAATATTGAATAGACACACTGATGGGAGAGTTAGAACATGTCGAATCCACAGTGTGATGAAGGAAATTGTTCTTTCCAAAGCAAGAGAAGAGAACTTTGGAGAAATAGTTGTTGTTGATGAGCTGAATACTCAGTTGTATGATAAAGTTCGACGTCTATCGATTCATAATGGCTGTGAAAAGATACTAGAAAAGAAGAGCTTCGCTCGACTTCATTCTCTGTTCATGTTTCAGGCAAACATTCCATCCATTTCATTTTCCTGTGCGCACTTCTCTGGATTTAGGCTGCTCAAAGTGTTGGAATTGAGAGACGCTCCATTAGAAGTGTTTCCAGCAGAAGTTGTAAATCTATTCCATTTAAGGTATTTAAGTTTGAGAGGAACCAAGGTGAAAAGGATTCCAGTTTCCATTGGAAATCTTGAAAACCTGCAGACTTTGGATCTTAGGTATGCCCCTGTATCCAAGCTACCCATTGGGATCCTAAAGCTACAAAAGCTACGCCATCTTCTAGTTCATCAATACAACAGCAAAGCGTACATCAAATTTCATCATCCAGGATTCAGGGCACCAAGAGGAATCGAGAATTTGGAAACCCTTCAAAGCCTATGCTTTATAGAGGCTAACCAAGGCAGCCATATGATTAAAGAGTTGGGGAGATTGAGACAATTAAGAAGACTGGGGATCCTAAAAATTAGAAGAGAAAATGGGATTGATCTATGCTCCTCCCTGGAGAAAATAACTAACCTTCGCTCCTTATTTCTAACTGCAGCAGAAGAGGATGAGATGCTTGAACTACATTTTCTATCTTCTCCACCTCCTTTTCTTCAGAGGTTATACATAAAAGGGCGTCTAGAGAAACCACCAGACTGGATTCCTTCACTTCATAACTTGGTGAAATTGTACTTAAGTTGGTCAAGAATGCGAGATGATCCACTTGAAGCACTTGAAGCTTTGCCTAATCTGATGAAGCTTTGGCTTCTTCACGCTTATGAAGGGGAAGAATTATGTTTTCATGCAGGAGGGTTTCAAAAGCTTCAGTTTCTAATGCTTGATCAGTTGGAAGAATTGAGATTAGTGAGAGTGGAGGAGGGAGCAATGCCTCGTCTTCAAAGGTTGTGTATTTGGAGTTGCCGGCTTCTAAAGGTGGTACCATTGGGCATTGAATGTCTCACTAACCTCAAAGAGCTCCATCTTTCCGATATGTCAAATGAATTTAAGATTATGCTGCTTTCGGAAGACTATTGGAGAGTTGCAAAAATTCAACTTGTCTATTTTTACTTTTGGGAAAATGGAGGTTGGAAGCGCGACCGTGTTCATACAGTCAGCTCATCAATTTAATAAGATCACCCCAGACAAGAGGAGATGCAACTGTCTTAGTTTTCAGGATAGGCAAATCAAGGCCCAGAGAAGCATGAGCTATGCCTTACGGTTCGTAGTAGTGTGCAGGTCTATATTACAAAGTTGGCTTGGGCTCCCCATGTTTCCACTCAACATCTATAGCTATCAAAGCTGTAGCATTACCTCTCTCTCTCTCTCTCTCTCTCCACATTCAGCAGCTAATCTAGAAATTCAACTTTCTCTCTCTCTCCCCACATTCGGCAGCTAATCTAGAAATTCAACTTTTTCTCTCTCTCTCCACATTCAGCAGCTAATCTAGAAATTCAACTTACATTGATGGGTTCTATCGGCTGTATTCTCAGTTTGTTTGCCGTATGAATTTCTTTGAGAGTGAACACTGGTGTGAGTTACGGGGACAACCTAGATTGGCCCAAATTAGCATTTTTACACCGCTTCGGGCCAGGGCCATATATAAGCCCAACCTGTACCTGCCTAAGTTGTAACCCTAGTTTGAGTTCCATGTATATGAAAGAAACACAGGTATATTGGCACAGGATTGATTATGTCGGTTAAAGGTTCATAAATGGTGCACCAAATGTATAGACTCGGGGGATACAGGTAGGGGTGTCAATTAGACTGGATTTGGTCTAATCCGGTTCAGTCCAATGTCAGTCCATTACAAATGGATCTGATCCAATCCATTCCAATGAATATTTTGGACTGGTCCAGAGACTGTCCAATCTGTTCAAATTCTTTTTAATTTAGATTTGTTTCAACTCAAATCTGGTCCATTGACACCTATGTTCTTATCTTCTATCTATGGACCAGATATTGGCTCAATCTAATATAAATTCATTATGGACGGACCAGGTCCAATCCAATATATCATATTGGTCCGTCCAATCCATTCAAATTCAATATGTCCTATTGGCCCGTCCAATCCATTCAAATAGATTTTGATTTGGACAGAGTCCAACCCAAAATCAGTTCATTGGCATTCCTAGATACAGGCATCAATCAAGCCAGGGGAAAACCAATACTGAGGGGAGGGGGGACTACATGTTGGGATGATGTCTGGATTTGTTGCACTAAAAAGGAGATTCCGGTTGAGTTCAGATCTGCACCCCATGACGGGGCGCCCCACAGTGCATCCCCTCTTTGTATCGGTAATATCTCTCGATGATAACACCATCGGGTCTGATATTATCATCGGGAGATGCTCACAATACAAGGCGGGAATGCATTGTGGGATATTGTGCGGCGCCCCACAATGGGGCGCAGATATGAACTCATTCCGGCTGCCGATGACCCAATAGACAAGATGGTCGCATTATACCACCTCCATTGTGCAAGTGAGGCTCACTTGCACCTTATTCTGCCATGGTTCAAAGTATCAATATCTCTATATACATTGAGGTATAACCAATTACAGATCCCCAGTCCCCACCCACACACATGAACCAACCACCTTATGTTAAATTCATGTCAAATTCGTCATCTTCAACCTGATGATGGAATGGTTACAACACAGTCTTGACAATCAAATTATTTCTGCAATTTTAACAACATGATCATTAGATTAAACTTGTTTAATCCAATAAAGCAGGGGCGGAGCTGGGGGTGACCCGGGGGCCATGGCCCCCAATGGTTTGACAAAAGCATTAGTGTGTGCTGTGAGGATTGGGAAGGAGGGTCAGTTGGGCTTTGGTCCCCCCAATGGTTTGACCAAATATACGGTTAACAGTTGATTCACCTTTAACCTGTATTACTATTACCTATTATTTGCAAAACAAAAGAATAATAGAAAGAAAATTAAAAAAAAAAGAAAAAACATAACTAAACCAAAATTCAACCAAAGAACCCAGTGCTCAGAACCACTTGGAATCCGTTTGAACATTGGCCAGAAGAAAAACCTGGCTTGCACATGTTACAAGTCTGAAGAACCAGATTTTTTTTTCTTTGTTTTTGTTCACTGTTCAGATTTTTCTTGGAAGATTGAACACAGACCAGCAGCCAACAATGTCTAGAAGAATCAAATTCAAAAAAGGTCTAGAAATAACAAATTGTTTAATACCTGAATTGAATGAATTTGATTATTTGTTTATTTAAACTAACAAATTGTTAATAATTTTGATCTTTTAAGGGGTTTGATTATTATGCGGGAAAGACATGATACAAAGAAACTTATAACCAATCAACCAGAATCATAAAAGTGGTAACTAATCAGGTGGATTTTCATCTCATGGGGGCTTTGATTGGTTTCTATCATCATAGATTTCCCCCTTTTAATGTCTTGAATTGAATACAACGATTGGTAGACTACATGGTAAGTAAATTATAAAAGTTTTTTTTTTACCTTGAATATCTTCCAATTTTTTAAGTTATTTAACTTATTTTTATCATGTAACTGAGTGATTAAAGGGGTCTAAGACTGATTTTGTCTTTTTTCCTAAATTTTCATTGTTAATTTGTCATTCAATATATTGGAAGTTTGAATACCAAACAGAAAAAGATTTTACATTATAAATTTGATATACAACTTATAAATTCTTAGAATTTTTTTTGTGTTTTCTCTTTTTATTTAGGGTAAATTTCTTAAATTATCTTTATGGTCTAGCTAATTGACGAAGTGTACCCTTACTGTTTGAAAATTGACTAATGCTACCCCTACTGTTTCTGACAATTGACTAAGCCTTAGAGAGAAATAGTGGATTGACGAAGTGTACCCTTAGAGAGAAATAGCGGGAAGAAAGAATGAGAGATAGGAAAACGAGAGGGAAAGAGAGGTGGCGGGAGAGAGAAGTACCAAATCCGTCGTACCAAAGAGAGGATGTGAAACAAAGTGAGAGAACCCCCAATATGGCCTTCTGCATTAGCTCGTTCATCTCTGGCTTGTTTCCGTAGTATGAGGACACTGGCTCACTATTCGCCTTCACGAACGGCCCCTCTTTCGGATTCACCACCGCCTCTTACTGCAAAACATACACGACATATGATAGACCCTCGTTAGTCACCAAGGTTTTTCCAATCTCCATTAGGGAATACTTGTGCTTTGAGGAGCCATCAGAAAATTGCTGGAGGTTTTCGGGATTACTTGTAGTTCTGGCAAAGAGAATGAGAGGAAGATGGAGAGATCCGAATATGAGGGTAAAATAGTCTTTTTATATCTTTATTGACGGATGTTAATGACTAAGAAAGATTAGCCAATTGTTAGAAACAGTAGGGGTAGTGTTAGTCAATTAGCTAAACCATAAGGGTAGTTTATGAAATTTACCCTTTTACTTGTTGGTTTATTTTTTATTACTAGTAAACATGTATATGCATTTGCATGTGATAGTATCTCCAAGATAAAACTATTTACAATTTATGGGCCGTTTTTGAACAGTTATAAGTAGACACTTTCTTAACTGTTACAAGTGGGCAGTTTTTGGAATGAGAATAAATGACATATATGCTCTCTTTTATGTCCGTTGTATGTTGCTTAGATAAGGGATAAAAGTGTTCAACAAAAATTCCAGAAAAAAAGGGACATTTGCTGTTTTATAGGTAGTATAGATTTTTCCTTGATAAAGAACTTAAAAATCAACAATGATAATGAGGAACCAATTTTAAAATAGACAGCATTAGCAATAAATGGGCCCTATATGTTCAACGAAAGATTCAAATGGGACCTTTGAATAGGCACATGCCACAACCTACCCAATGCATACAAGCTCTCGCACAACTGTGCTAGCACCCTTGCCCATTGCCTAGCTCAGCTACTTGAACTTGCCCATTGCTCAGCCCACCCACTTGCATTCGGCCACTCGCCTGGCCAACCCCCTGCCCAGTCCACTCACCTTGGCCTAACTACCCCCTTGTAATTAACAGGGCAAAAAAACAAGGAAGTCCAATATAAAAAAAAAAATAGAAAAATATACAAAACATTAAAAAACAATTGAAAAACACTCAATAACTATCTTTTCTTAATCAAGTAGTCAATAATAATAGAAAAACACTCGATCAAAACTGTAAAATCTCTTATTACTTAACATTTTGGTGAGTGAAACAATTTTATTATTTTCAATAGATCATCTGAAATCAATAGAACGAAAAATATCTAAAGAAAATAAATGAATAAACAGAATAAAAAATTAAAATTAGTTACATAATTCAAATTAGAACTATTGAACTAATTCAATAAGCAACAAGACCATAGAGTTTTGAATTAAGAGATAAGGTGTGAAGTTGAAAGCATAATAAAAAATCTTATATGATAGAATTTTGATATTTAGATTCATGTATTAGATTTTATTTTATTCTTAGCATTTTTACTAGTTGGAATTTGTGTTTAAATAATTATATTAACTTTTGACCCCTTTAAGAAAAAATCCTGGCTTCGCCCCTGCAACAAAATAATTAAGTTGTTGGCCTAATAAAAAAGTAAGTTCTAAGAATGGTTTTGATAAGCTTGTATCTACTGAATTATTGTTTAATATAAAAAGGGAAGAAAATAAAAATCTATGGACGAAAATCATCAAAAATACAAAGACGAAGAAGAGGAAAAGATTCTATAAGAATATAAATTCTAATGTAAATAATAAGTAAAAGTGTATAAATCAAAAACAATTGGGGGGATGAAGATGAAGCATGCATGGAACATTTATAAAAATGTGTTGTGTGTACAAAGATAATATGCATGAAACAAGATCGAGTCATCCAAGACAGTAGCGCATTAATGCAAGCCAGTCATAGATAAGAGTGTCAATGGACCGGTTTTGAACCGGGCCCTATCCGGTCTAAAATCAATTTAGATGGATTGGACGGATCAACAAGGCATATTGGATTGGACCAATCCGGTCCAAAATATTTATTAGATTAGATTGGACCTGGTCCGTCTGTAATAAATTTATATTGAATTGGGTTGGATTAAACTAATATGTGGTGCATTGATATAAGATAAGAAATAAGTATCAATGGATTGGGTTTGGGTTAAAATCAATCTAAATTAAAATAAATTTGAACAGATTGATGGCCCAAACATTGAATTAGACTGACCCAAAATTTCCATGTGCTTATTGACTGCATTTACAACATTTACTTACCTGATCCTAACTGGAACTTTACTACTTCTAATCCAATCTGTCTTCTATCAAAGATTGAAATCCTTCTCAATTAAACACATGTAAGCTTTAATTAATTGGAAGTAATATAGACGATCAGTTTCTTTTTTTACCCTTTTTTATATTCCTTCTTCAACTCCAATACTTCCTTTTTCTACATTGAACTTTCTTGTTTCCTATAACTAAGGTTGTGTTTGTTACAATTGCAATTTCTATTTGCAACATTATGGGTTGGTCAAATACAAATTTTATGAGAATAATTTTTTTTTTTACCACAAATGCTTTGATTTATCAATATAACATTGGATACCATTCCTAAACATCAAAGTTAGTGTTTCTACTTTCTACTATAATTGCTCTGCAACACCTAATCTAATGCCAATATTTTTTATGGTGTGATGTAATAACATAATTTCTCAAAAGTTTGTATTGATAGCCAACACAAAACATT